CATTAGCTCTTCCGTCTGAATATGCAAAACTGCTTTTTATTTATTTATTATCCTAATTTTAAAAGTTTAGATATTCCTAAACATACTAAATATATATATTAATGTCTAAATACATGCATAACTACTGGCTACTTAGCCACTACCGCATTCCTATTTGGGTGCAGTCACACCATGCACATCTCGTGTGACACACACCCGTACTACCAGAGTACATGTAACCCCGTTACACCCCCCCCCATTGGGATTGAGAACATTTACTGCTCCAATTGACTATTGCCTCTACGAGGCTCGTGTCTCCGCTAGAAATTCGTTGGAACTAAACAACTTCCTTGCTCAATGAGCCCAGTGTCCACGACACGAAAGTCACCAAGTCTAGCTGGTTCTGAAAGCGAACACGGGCAGAGTCCAGCTTCGTCTCCCGCACGCGTTGCGATATCGGACAGTGCGTCCGCGGTATCGTAAGATTAACATCCTAGGCTCGATGAGGACGAGCGTCGCGCTTTGCGCACGCTATCAATGTCGAGTGATCTCGTTGAGGATGTGGAGGTGGTCGAATACGAGACTGACACTCCTTTTCTCACATGTGATGACGAGGAAGGCGAGCTGCACCAACAGCGTAATACGAGCCCTGCTTGCGCCTTGCGGACCCCATGTCCGCTTCCTGACTTCTCGTCAGCCAAGGAATGTGGTGTAATTACCAATGACCTCGATGAAGCTCAAATGCGGCATCTTGAAGCTGCCCATAAGGCGGCTCCAAAGCGCGCCCATCCACGGCCGGTTATTGACTCTCGTGTGGAATATGGCTTCCGCCCGGCGGATCCCGCTGTGGAAGCGACCTTGGGTTAAAAATGTGGTTACTCTTTTGGTAAGTGGATTGCGATTCGCTACACTCGTACCGGCTTTGAGTATAGAACGAAGTTCGCCGATCTTAGCTTAGCTTCAGCTACGACAGCCCCGCTGCACTTGGTAGCACTTATAGTCAATCAACACCTGAGTCGTTAGGATTGATCCTCTGTGAGGATGGAGCTCCTCTCTTGATTGCCCCAGGTATGCAGACGGGCTTAAAAAGCTGATGCCTCTGCTTGGCCCTGAGGGCGTGTAACATCTTGCTTCGCAAGGATCTGAAGCGATAAGCGCGCGCCTAGATGCGTTTTCAAGTTGTGACATGCTTTGCGCGAGCAACTACTGCAGAAGATGGCGGCGTCGACTGCACCCATGACGCCGCCGTTGGCGACGTATGACTCCCCCCGAACCAAGCCGCTCATGGTGAATGTGAAGATCTTCGAGGGTAGGGATGGAAAGAATCTTTTGCTCTAGATAAGATAGGTCGAGATGGCTATGACAAACCATGCTCCAAAACGAGCAACAGCGCATGGCGCTAGCATCTCCAATCTCGGTAGTCAAGCACGAGAATGGCACTGACGTGCGGCACTTCGGTCAAAGCGGCGTTTTCCTCCTGGATGGATCTGCGGCAGCTGCTTTTACTAGTGTTCACCCCGTCTAACCAGGCATATCACGTGTGATCGTGTTTCCTTGCCGCCCGACAGGGCAAGAAGGAATTGATGGACTTTGTCCAAGCGTTGCGAGATCCCATGTTCTGTATGGCAGCCGATCCTCCCCGGGGAGGTCAAAGTGACCGTTTCTATGGAGAGCCTCCGCACAGGCGCGACCAGAATGGAAGCCTTATGAGTGTATTCATCTTCTTTTGAAGATGCAGTGAATGTAGCATTGAAAGCCAAATTCAAATATGAGTCGGCACGAATGGGTTGGAATGCACACTCTAGCAGATCGTCGACAGGGTTGCTTGAGCTGACGGATCTCAGCCATTATGAGAAAGAGGAGGCAGAGCTTCTGGCTGCCGAGTAGCGCTCGAACACCCGACAGTGTTTTGTCTGTGAATACACCCGTCACCTTTGGATTAGGAGTGTCCTGCGCAAGGCGCGTCAAAGCTCATTAGACCGACTTCAGCTTCATACCAGTCTTCTGGTTGTCGCGGGGAAACAACAGCATCCAGTAGGCCGCCTCGCGCCTACGGGGAAAGAACGTAGCTCTGTTGAGCCTCAAAGGGGTAGAGATCAGCGAGACCCAGCCTCGAAGAGCTCCGTGCTCTTGAATACGGACCGTGTATGCAAGCCGGGCTTGCTGGTGGTGAAAGCGACCGTGAAGAGCTTTGAAAAGCCACGGAGGATCCTGATTGACTCTGGGGCGCTAGGCAATTATGCTCCACGCTCCAGGATGAAAGGAAATCAGCTGTATCTTAAGGCGCTGGAGGCGCGACTGAGTGAAGTCGTCACTCTTAGCTTAGGGACGGAACATTTGTCATGGTGCAGAGGTTCCCTGTGGACCTCGGTGTCAAGTTTCTTGACTTTGTCAGCGTGAAACGCTGCTAAATCTTAGAATTCGATTTACGGTATGACCTCATGAATTGCCGCGGGTACTGGACTACGACGGTCGACGTGCTAGAGATCGTTGATTCCGAGTTTTTGAACTCCAAAGATATATCGGACAAAAGTCCCGAGCATGACTCTCGGGCTGAACGTGGAGTGGCACGGAAACCACTGAGCGCTGCTCATGTATTGGAGCAGTCACTGCATGCCATGTCGTGGCATGGTCGGCAGGCATCCAGGGCGAGGCTTCGGTGATGCACATGGAGTGGCACGTAACCCACTGAGCGCTGCTCAAGTATCGAGGCAGTTGCTGCATTCACGAGTGGCATTGTCGGACGAGGACTGAGGCATCTTCGGCAAGGCCTTCTAGATGCTCGTGGAGTGGCACGTTATCCACTGGACAAAATCTGCGGAGATAGCATCTTTTCGTCGGATGATGTTTATAACAACTCGGCTCCGGTGGAGCAGGAAGTGGGGCTCACACTGGACAACGCTGAGTGCGTGCGCCCGCTGGTCTCGCCGAGACGTGACCGCTGCGGAAAAGCGACAGTGACGCGGTATGCTAGCTGCAAGACGCCGAGCGTCGACCCTGACCCACGATGTGTCTACCGTAGACGATAGCACACAGCTATATACACTCGTCAACGGTATGACGGGGGAAGAATACGGCGACGTCAGCCTCGAGGCCATTACCGCGGTGGATGCTCTTCTTTAACCGGAAGAGATGTCCCTTGAAGAGTTCGGCGGTGCCTTGAAGGCAGGCGACTTCGCCAAAATGGTCATAATATGACCGAACAAGGAGGTCAACTCATTGTCGCTTCTGGATGAAGCTGTCCCGAAGGACATCAAGAGGGTACCAACTGCATGAAGTGGATCTTTGAACCTTAAGAATCCCTAGGATTCGTACTATCATTTGACAAAGAAATATAAAACGTCGTTTACAAAGACCCGTCGTCGGTCCTACCTCCAGCCCGAGTTTTACATCGACCTGGTTCCGGGAACCAAATACTGCATAACACGCCATCGCCCCCTGCCTTAGGAGCCGTGTGACGTCATTGACGCCTTCTTCCGTGCAAAGCACGACACAGGAATGGTGCGCGAGAGAATGTCTCTCCATTCGACACCCACGTTTTGTGTCAGGAAGCCGAACATCAAGGGGCGTATAGTTCACCCCGACAATAAGCTTAATGCTGCCACCATTACGGCACAGTCGCCGATTTCTAGGAAAGATGCTCTTTAGAACAACATGGTTGGATGTACAGAGTATGATGTATAGCTTATTTAAAGTGATTATGTAGGCAACTTTGTGAATAAATTTAGTTTGAGAGTACGGAAGCTTTTGACACATCATTTGGACGATTATGGACTTAATTCACCACATTACGCAATAGACAAGCAGCACATGATTGTTGCCTGACTGTTGTGCCGTAAGAAAAAGAACGAGATGTTTTCATCATGCTCTCGCTTCTTGGTCTTACGTACTGATGATTAGATTTTGCTGATAAGCAGAATGAGAACTATTCTGCTCTCATTTTGCTTATCACGCACATAAGTCGTTAATGAAAAGCGTCGCTTTGACTATAAACGTTTTTTTAAAGGGTCTACAATTTCAATGACGAAGTATGCAACATAAAGTAGTACGCGTTGCAAAACAGTTGACCTGACTACAATGAATATTAGATATTTGTTATCGAGCTGTAGTACATTTAAACGCAGCGTTTCTGCAAGCAGGATAAAGCACATCGTTCCACAACTTGGTCTCTAATTTTACAGTAGACGCACAGAAACTTTTGATCGTGATAGACAATACTAGCTTTACTGCGTTGCAGCAGGGCTGCCGTAGCTTTGCGCTTGAGAAAGCGTACTTTAGGTCACATTCTTGTAAAGGACCAAGTATGAGTTAGCGGATCGTAATCCGCTTACTCCAAGAGTAATTATTGCCTTCACAAGGCTAATTGACTCTTCGGTTTAAATTCAAATCGATTTCTACTTATTTTTTGTCCTAATTTTAACAGTTTAAATTTTCCTAAATGTACTAAATATATATAGTAACATGTAAATATATGCATAACTACTGGCTACCTAGCCATAAATCGTATTCTTGTCTGGGTGCAATCACAGCAAACACATCTCTTGTGACACACACACCCCTGTTAACAGGGTATGTGTACCCCGTTACATGCGTAGTGAAGTGAGCTAGAACAAAAGTGATACAAGTTGGGATCTAATATGCACTAACCGCTCGCAACGCAGGCGGCTCTTGGCAAGTCGTATAAAACAATGAGAAATTTGTGTCTATCCGTCCTTGACACGGATTAGTGAATAGAATTGCTTGTCGACTGGCTCAAATTGAAAGTATTGTGGGTTCAACACTTATAATAACATAGAACTCGCAACAAAAATCCCTTTACAAAGCGTAACGCAAAGGAAACATTTGATTGGCCCATAGACATGGCTACACTTCAATTAATGATTTGCTATCATGACAAGGATTACGGCAATGGTTACCGATGAAATTATGGACATAATGGCAATTATCCATTGGTCTAAATAAGTCAGGTTACACTCAGGTAGCAATGTAACACTTTAGAAATATTCACTTTCGTTTTTACATACAAACCGATACTTTTTAATTCTCAATGGCAAATGTCGAAAGACAATTTATATGAATCAGTCGCTACTTTCGTACGGGTGGGATGTGGAGGTTAGACGTGCTGTATTAGTACTCTTTTTAAGCCACTAGCCCAGTACAAAAACGAGATGGCTACAGTAATATTTTCGTGTGTTTTCGTGAGCTGAGAGATCATTCGAAAGTTAGCACTATTTGTGCTAACTTTCGTATAGATTTCAACCAGATTGAATGTAAGATTATGATGTCTTAGCAGTAGTATCGTAGCACATGAATGTCTTAGTGATTTTAGTCTAAACTGTGTCGACCATCGGCTCAATATACATACTAAACAATTCATCATCAATTATAATGAGGCAATTATGGTAATGCTGTGAGATGAAATTATTACACTAAGATAAATCTCTTACCATAATGTCATCTCGAAAGCATCATGGGATAAGATGTTTGTCATAGATCAAATAGAGGAACTACTGATTCTAGCAAAGCATGGAAATACACGAGGCAAGTTGCTTCCAGTAATTTTCGTATTTAAGGCATTAATTACAGCGGGGCTGCCGTAGCTGCTTGCATAGAGGAGGCTAAGCTAAGGTCACCGACCAATCGTCCATGAATCAGTACAAGTGTAGCGGATCGCAATCTGCTACTTCTAAGTACTAAAGCGTTTACCAAGCCAAACGTATACTTCTGTTCAGAAACGAACTGTATTTTATTGTTTTAGTTGCGGTAGAGCCGCTAATTAATATGGAATTACCTAACTAATACAGCAAAACATAATTAATATGTAGTCACACCACTATATGATTACACTAACTGTGTAATACACACCTATGAACTAAGTGTCCCGCTGCGTGTGAGTTTCAGAGCGTTTCTTTTCTTCTCACACATAGATATTAGCTGCAACGCGAACACCTCAAGCCTGGGAGCTTTGGAACTCATCTATGCTGCGTTTTCGCGAAAAAACAGTCACTGTTACTTTTACTTCAGATTGCATTCTTAGCAGCATTGTCTGATAAAATTGGCGTGAGCTGTCCAATAGTTTACGCACTGTAATTAGAGTCTGATTCATGCATCTGCTAATTAAGCGTTAAATATCATGTAAAAGCTTAGTTTAGTAGCATTATATCAATAAATCTAAAGAAAGTCACACTGAAGACACAAGCCGGCATATGTCATTTGTACAGTCTTCATACTTTGATAATAACAAGCCTCAACTGACACTTTTTTTTGAAATTGCATTGTTAAGGTCCGTGTGTCAAGACGGACAAATTTTTCCGTAAAATTGTCCGGCTGATAAAAGTCAAAGTGGACCAGAAGATAAGGGTTGTTGACCACCCATCGATCGAGTCACGTATTCCTTGATGTTACATCTATGTGCTGTATTCGACTTTTTTCAAGAGAGATGCGCACGTTGCAACATCAACGTACAATACGCGGGCATGGCAGCTGTGTTGGCTTCAAATTGGACTTTCTTGATGTATGTGCTAATTTTTTTGCGAAAAAGAGTCAGAGATTTATAAAGAGAACATCTCAGTTTCCCGAGAGCCGGATAGACCAGGTTTTAGATGGACAAATCATAAGGCTACGTCTGCCTGACCCAGTCTTTTGTCGCTTGGATCTCGGCTTATCTTTTTTCAATTTTCTTGACCATGTTTGTGCTGATCCTTTCGACTTTATTTCTGCTTGATGTCAGTGTATCCTCCACGTCTAATTCAAGTACACTCCAGCATGAAGTTCCTATCGTGTTCGTTGGTCACTTGAATGATTCACTGCCTTCTGCAAATAGTAGCTCGACCGTTGCTAAAGAAGAGTTGGAGAGCTACGATGATAGTGAGCAAGACATTACCGAGATTGATGAAACTGATGTGGAAACAAGGATGTTCCTTTTCTCTGGAAAGATGTTCTTATCGCATTTCCACACCAAGTCGCCACTTAATGAAGCTAACATTAAACCCCTGTTGACCACTTTTGCGGATGCAAGGGCCCTGCTGGAGATAAAGAAACGTGATTCGGCTCAAAATAAGAATCTATTCAGTCACCTAACGACGCTTCTCGGGTCAAATGATGAACAAATGAAATTATTTGCTGGCGTGACGGTGTCCAAGTTGCTTACGGACCCTGTGACACGCGAGGTGACGCAACAGCAGTTTCTCGATTCTGTGACCAAATTATCAACAATATTCACAGTTTTAATGATAAACACAAAATTCGGATCTCTTAATGAATTTTTCGAACTTGGGTTACACATTCCACTATTGTCCTACGCCTGCAAACTACTTAAAGCAGATGGCATTTTGGGAAGTTTTTCAAGGGTAGTCGAAGACGAGGTTAAAGTCGAGGTCATACGCGACGCCGTTCGACTCCTAACGGAAACTCGTAAAGGAGGTAATTTGATAACTTGGCTCGGAACTTATGAAACAAAACTGGTCAGACCGATGCGATCCTTAATCGAAGATTATTTTTACAGTCTCGTGGATGGTTTGTTGCGTCGTACGAAAGTGCTAGCGTATCGCTTACACTCACTGAGATATCCTGATCTTGTGTCGTTTCACGAGCATTATTCGTCGTTATATGACGACATCTGTTTCGATCATTGGCTTGATTTTGCTGCTTTTACTCGTTTTAACTACATTGAACATGAGGCGAAAAGTTCAGATTTCATTTACCCACAAGTTTTAAAACTCATGAAACAACAAGGTAGTCGATATACTGATGATGATACTATTTTATCATATTTTGATCCGAAGAACCTATTGACGAGAACTGCCCTGATGTCTAATCAATTTTTTGATTGGTCGCAGCTCAATAACGATCAATTCCGTTTGTTTAGAGCTGCTTTACAAACTGAAGACCAAACGAACTTGGTCAGGAAGACTTTGGAGGAGATGGAATATGCCTCTGCATTCATGAGAAATTTAGGTAGTGAGAGAATGGTGGAAAAGTTTGAGGCACTTCTGAACGATAAGGATCTTATAGAACCGTTTCAAAAGGTGCTTGAAGACGAATACCTAGTGCAGTTACTTAGAGCGAGTTTGGAGAATAACCAACCAGTAGATATTTCGTCGGGTCTGACTATGGGTACTGAGAAGCTGAATCAGATTGAAGATGATGTTATGAAAACGTTCCAAATGTTGGTCACGGATAATGAAAAATTGCAGATGATAGGAGCGTCTTTGGTGGATGATGTCAATAATAAGTTGTATGGAAACGCTTTTGAGGCAGCAAAACATCTGAAATCAGTTGAAGACATGTTGAGTAGTACGGAATTGGATACGATGAATTTGCTCGAAGCGATTCTCAAAAATCAGGAAACAGTGCAATTGCTTAAAGTGGTTTTAAGAGATGATAAGCATTTAAATTTGTTTAGATCAGTTTTGGAGGACAATACAAAGAGCTCGGAAATAGAATTGGCGCTCAGTGATGAGAATCTGGCAAATGCGCTCAATGACGTATTAATGGATGTGGGTCAAGTGTTTTTTCTCAGAGTTGCTATCAAGGATGATGATCGTGCAAAGTTGTGTCGGGCGGCTTTGGAGAAAAAAGCACAGGTGAAGGTGTTTGAAGAGGCATTGAACAAAAAAAAATTAAATAATGTGTTAAGGTCGATACTGAAGGACGAAGAACGTTTGCATTTGCTTAAAAAGGCTGTTCGGTCGAGTATTACAGGGAGCTTCGAAACGCTCTGGCTTTAATAGATAGAGAGATGCTGAAAGAAGGGATGTCAGAGTACCTCCAGTTACGTCTACAAACAGAAGGACACTTATGAACCTTCGTCATGAAGTCTAATAAATTCTCATCTTTTTATATTGAGCATTTTATTCAATGTTTGATGTTTACAAAATCTCTTAGTACTATTCCTTCATATAATTCTCTGCTTTATTAAGCTGCGTCCAGCCTCTCAATTGCGCAAATTAACGTTTTCAAAGTAAAAAAAATCGTCAATCAAAAGCTTCTACAAAAAACCAACGAGCAATTCGAAAAAATAGAGTGTCATTTCTACATCGACGAACTTGATGAAGGAAATTGGAGCGACATCCAGTAACTCTTTGTAGACGAAAACGTTTTTCTCTTAGTCGAGGACACTAAATGCTTGTAACACAGTACGCCATTATAGGGTAATGGGGCATGTCCTGTAATCTTGAGCACTTATACCTGACATATTATTTACAATCAAATGTAATAATTACATACAACACACCATTACAAGTGATCGGTCCGGCTGTGAATTTTTAAACGACTGCCATCAAATGGTCAGCCATTTATGACCTCGCGGCCCGTCAACACACCGACGTAATTATTGACCATTCAGTGGAAACAATGTATAAATTACTTTCTTGAAAGCTTAGTCAGCCATACGGGCCCAATTATGTTGCTCTGTGTCTCTTGATCCGACACGTGATATATTGCGATGCGTGCCCCTCGATGCACCTCCTTAACACATGTCCATGATGCGGTACCGTACATATGCGCGTCTTGTGACTAGTGCTCGGCACCATCTCGTACAGAATCACAATTGCTGTCGCCGTCTGCCAGAGCTTAGCAGTCCTCCCCTCGGTGGCAAAAAGTTTCCAGAGGGCGCCTGCATCCAGTGATCATTCCTGCCCGTGAAATCGACTCGAATGATTCGCCTCACTGGTGGTTATGGGATTGCTTTTTCCGTTCCAGCATCTGCTGACCCTTCGAAGAAATAAAGCCCTCTGTCGTGGGCTCCGTTCTTATTGATCGGATCATTCATTGCATACTGGTTGAAGTCCGCATGATGCTCACACTGACTGGGTGTTTGATTATGGGTTGAAGGCTGGAGGAATAATCGTTTGATGCAGGATACATCTGGTGGCTCAATGAACAATCCAGGTATTGGGAAGCAACTATCGCGAGGCTTAATCTTCAGTCGCGAGTTTAGGCTCTGTGCGTAAGATCCTCGTCATCTGCTGCCGGAAGCATTTTGCGCATTTGTCAACTTGACGTGGAAACGGCGTTCCTCCATGACGATCTGTACGATGAGGTCCATATGCGTTACTCCAGGCACAGCGCTCAATCACAGGCACCACGATAATTAAGCGAGTAACTGAGACATCGTGTGCCGGGTATTCACAGAGCAAGTAGACAGTGATGGCATTTTCCTCGTGTCTAATGATACAGATCGACGTGGGCTGTAGCGCGTTCACACAGATATCATTAATTTGTTACAGACTCCCACACAGGGCGATGCAATATAAATTATCACCTTTGTGGATGATTTTCTATTCAAGATATGCTGCGAGAGTGCTGATTAAGAGCAAGAGTGAACATCTGACAAAGTCATACGATTCATGACGCTTCACGTGGACTATTGGGATGTTTGTCTGAGGTGTTTGAGTACCGACGACGAGAGAAAATCTGCATAAAGACGATAGAAGATTTATGTCGTCGAAGCGACAACCTCCTCGACCACTTTCCTGCTAAGTACCCCTCGCTGAAACTTTTACCATGTAAGATATATTGGATAGATAGCAAATATAGCATTTACTCGATAGAGATATCATAGCATCACCTCGTCATTCTTCTTTGATCAAACATTTTTGCTAGCCAATCGGAAAAAATCGTATTTATGTAGGTAGACCCGTAGCTCAGGCTCGATGATGTCCTGAATTGGATTCTCATAGTTGAAGCTGATACAATGTCCATCTTCTCATAATAGAATTCAGAGCGGTCGAAGTCGAAGTCGAAGTCGATGTATTCATAGTTGAACTAAAGCATTTATATATACAACGTCAAGTGGATTAAGTTATTTAAGCGGCGTTTCTTCATGGTGATTTCACGTGCATCATTAAGCTCTTTTAACCCATGAAAACTTAAGTGTTCGATCTTGTTTCTAATTGGTGTGTCGTTTATGCTTGGTCATGTCTATTCCAGATTGACTAAAAGGAATTATTGCCTACCAGTTCCATCATCTTGGCAATCATGATCCTACACTTGTCAACATCACTTTTTGTCGCGCATTTATTACAGCCTCTAAAAGAAGGCAAATGCTAGCCTTGACAAAGCAGTACGTATTGAAAACCTTCATACCATGAGCATGGTACCACTTGGGCAAAGGAGTGAAGATGAGAATGTTGTCGATGATATCTTCATATGCTTCAGTGGTAGTTAATCCACCGCATGGAATCGAGTTACCAATAACCCATAGATACCGAGTGTCGACATCGTATCCGACATTTTTTATCGACCTAACCACCACGATTCCTAGCTACGTTACGCATAGCGTAGCGATTTAAAAAAGATAATTGGGGCGTTGGTCTTTATCTGGCGTCGATATTCTTTCTCCCGGTTAATAGAATATGCCGGTCTCTCAAAGCTGAACTCAAGCATATACTTGCATCAAATTTTGCCAAGTGGTATATCCGGCCGTGTGCAAGTTGTAATGTAAAGTAGACATCCAATCAGTGAGCGGTATGGTTTTGACAGCATCTCCGAAAGCATAGCTTCTGTACTTGGTGACTGTGACGTTGACAGCTTGAGACCGGACGTACACGGATTGTCGACGTCCTTGGCGTTTTTCTGTTTAAATCGCTCAGTCACGTCACTAATGTACCTTGTCTACTTGATGATTAGCGTGGAAGTTGACCTGTCGTGGTCGATCTCCATGCTCAAGATGAACTTCTCCAAACCGAGATCCATCATCTTGAAAACACTTTTTAGCATCCCTCTCGACCTCTAGAATCTGGCTGCTTGTCTTGGCTGCAATGATCATATCATCGACATATAGACATACGTATACAAACCCTTCTTTCACTTTCTTTACGTAGACGCATCGATCCGCTCCACAACTTTTGAAATCGTTCTTTGAAGACGTGGTCGATCGTCTTGCTCCGAGCATTTGCAGCTTGCTTGATTCCATATATAGCTTTGTTCAGCTGACACGCAAATCCTCGAGCTCCCTTAAAACCAATCGAACCCCCATGCTAACACGGTCCGACTGCACACTTTTTAGAAAGGCGGTGTCGACTTCCAGCTGCTCAATTTTGCAACCTGATACCGCGCTCACTGCGAATTGAGTTCATGTTGGCCACTGGAGAGTACGTCTCAAGGAAACCCACGCCGTGTTTCTACTCAAAATCTTTTACCACCGATCGTTCATTGTAGTGCACAACACATCCATTTTGGTCACGCTTCTTAGCAAAGACTTAGTGGCATCCAATCATACGTCCAACTGATTCTCGCAGAACGAGTGTTCGTGTTCTTTTCTGGCAATGCGATTGTAGTTCGGTGTCCATCGCTTGTTGCCAATGTTCTGCTTCGTCACCAGTAAATGTCTGCGCATACGAGGTAATCAAGTATGTTTCTTTACCAATACTTACAGCGTAAGCGAGAACAGCCTTCGCTATTAGTCCGTCTTTATAAATCCTTACACGCTTTGAAGAAGGTAGATGGTAGTCCTTCGCTTCCTTCCAAACTTTTTCGGCATATGATTTGTTCTGCAATAACAACATTGATTTGCGTGTACGCCTTGAACGTTCCACTTGAGCTTGAAATACCAATCGATCTTCCTGTGCATCTAGTGTAGGAGTCCTATACTCTGTCAGTTCAAAGTGTACGGAGGCAGTTTATCGAGGTTTCATGACCCTTGACTCATTTTGTCGGACTCCTCCTTATTCATTGGAGCATCTGGAACTTCTTCTTTTTTTCTTCTTCTTCTTCAGACTCCATAGGCTCATCTTGATCTTGTTGGTGTTTTGTCGGCCCAAATACTGCGCTTTCAGACTTGGTCTAGGCTACGTGCAACAAGGTTATTTATTTGGGCGGGTGCTTCTCATAGATGCCACCCATTTTGTGCTCGTTCAGCTTCACCGACCGTGATACTGATATCTTGTTTTTCTCCAAATCGTAAACTTGCTATCCCTTGGTGTCTTCGGTATAATCAAGGAACATGCACTTAAAGCGTTTGTCTTCGAGTTTCGTCCTCTTCACTTGATCAACGTGAGCATAATATGAAACTCAAGCACCCAGAGGTGATTCATCTTAGGCTTTCTTTTAAATCCCAGCTCATACGGGATATTGTTTGGGTGCACTGTATTGGGAGGGTGGTTGATCAGGTACACCACCAACATGTCGGAATTCACTTGTAGTGCAGCATTCTCCGTGCCTTTTCTAAGACTGTGCGGTTCATTCATTCTGCGAATTATATTTTGTTGGTTGGATGGAACTGTACGCATTTAAAATATATCGCTCCGCTGACACAACTTCGAAACTGTCTTGTTGACAAGCTCCATTCCGTTGTCCGAACGCAGGCACTTGATAAGGTTCTCGAATATCTTGATCTTGTCGGCAATTCTACTCTTCTTCACCGGAACGTTAACCACCACATATCGTGCGAAATCATCCACAAAACCCAAAATGTACTTATCACCTCCTTTCATGTAAATGTACTTATCACCTCCTTTCAAAAGTGTCTTCATGAGTCCCATCACGTCCGTTTCAATACATGTGACGATTTTGTCATGAAGCGTCCTGGAAAGGCTATAATCGTCTGCTTGTCCTTCATTCATCCATCACACAAGGTCTTGATACCTTTTTGAGCGCAGACACTCCTTCTGTGGATCGCAAAGTCCTCACTATTATATCGTCGCTTGGGTGTCCCATACGAGCGTGCCAGAGCTCCCACTGACTATCAGTCCCCGAGTATTGCACCGATCATGCCTCTTCTTGCTGA